GGGGGGGGGGGGGGGGGGGGCAACGGCAACGTGCTCTCTGGTCCCGGCAAGGCTTAAACCTGCACAGTGACACATATGTGATGATTTGTAGGTAATTTTTAAGATGAAGAATCTACTGATAATCGGAAAAATGGCTGTAAAACTGTTGATAGGTCACAGTTTGTGTTTAGAAGGTACGTTCTAGTTACAGTGTAGGCAGATCTCATTCTTGGAAGCTGCAGTTTTTTGCATCTGAACTGAGTTCCTAGCTTCCATGCTTTTATCCTTCTGAAAATCACAGATTAATCAAATCAAAGGAAATCTTAAAACATGCTTGCTATTTTTAACCTGCATTTGCATAAATTTCCCTTCTTGTGGAAAGCAGTCACGCACTGTAATAGCTGCACACACTACAGAGGTCAGCGTGTGGGTTTAGTGATTCACTGTGCATGCACTATGTATTCTGCAGCAACAGCCCCACACTACATCATCCTCTTTTCTTTCTCGGCAGTTCCTGAGGAAAGGAGTAGTAGTATCTTGGAACATCTATCAGAGCGCCAGCGAGGCCGTCACAATGAAGCCGTGACCTCGCTGCATCATGAGCTTGCCTGCATTGCCAGGGTAGGGCTGGATGTTGTGCTCTGGGTAGTCTAGGGTACTAAACTGAGGTCAGGGCCTAATATTCAGAAGCTCAGACTGACTTCCTTACCTTTTCAGGAGATGGAACCCTTTATTTTGGAGCCTGGACGCTTACTTCATAAAAAACTGGTGGATTCTGACAGAAAAATTGAACTTCTGTTTAAAGATATTGAGTTGGATGCTGCTCTGAAAGGTTTCTCGGTTGAAGTAAGGCAACTCATGTCCTTGTCCCATCTTTGGTTATTTGTACCTGGTCTGCACAGCAGTGCTTCTTATGTCTTGCTGTGGTTTTAAGATATAAATGCCTTCTTTTTTTTTTTTTCTGCTTTCAAATTTTTTTTTTTTTTTTTACATTTACTTTTCAATGAGATTGAGAGTAAATCCATCTTGCAGGGTTTGGAAGAACTGTGGAATACCATCCGTCAGGAATGCTTGACCAGAAGGAAGTGGATAAGAGAAATGGATGAATCCCTCCTGAAGGCTGAAAAGAGTCGAGCCAGTGAAGTGAGCTGTGGTCTTAATAGCTGTTACTTAAGCATGAGATGATTATTTTCTCATAATTCTGGGTGCAGAGAGTAGCTTGTTTCCACAGGAGTGGAAGGTCATGGGACATCACAAATGTTCAGATAAAAAAAATAAGGATTTGCATGAGGAAATCCTTGCTGCTTTGTCCTTGTAGTCAAAAAATATCTGTCTGTTATACCTGTGTCAGTTTGTCCTCTCTTTGTAACATAGACATGATGAATAGGTCCAACTGTATCACCAGTAACTTTTGTGTTGGAGTAGTTATGAAAAATACCAGAGGTGACCACATCTGCTAAAATTTCTTGTCTGCTTAAAACAACCACTGATGGGTTCACTACAGATAGCTGACAGACAATCGGTTCGATTTTTAAATTCAGATTGCAGGCTGTCTGCAGAGCACTGTTATCACAGATAATCAGTTCAGTAGTAACAAAATGGAATGTTTTAGTTACTATTTTTATGAATGGTTACAAAAATCGGTATTTAAGATAGGTGTGTTAAGATTCACTTCTCAGTCTGTCTATCTGCCAACTGAATTTATTTCAAGGGACAAAAATTGCCTTGTTCATATCAGTGTTTGACCTAAGAAACTGATATTTGAGCTGTACAGACTTTTAAAATTTTTTTCTTTTATTGCACAGATAACAGGTGTGTTGAGGAAGTATACTCTGACACTGGAGGAGATTGGTGCTTTCTCATCAGCTGATGTTCACAAGTTCATGGATGATAAGGCCATGGTAAATCTTTCATATTGAGAGTCTCTTTTTACCTGTGAGAAAATAGCAAACTGAATATTCCCAGAATGTCTTTTTTTCCAACTGAAATTCATTATTTCTACCTGCAATACACGAGAGATTTCTATTTTGTGTGCTATTCTTCTGTATTCTTTTTCCCTCATTTTACATAGAACAAGTAATTTACGGAGTTTTTTGCACGTTATACGCTGCTTTTATTCCTGTTTTTATTTTTTAATGTGCAGACGATTAACAGAGCCCTGTTATCTAATCGGAGGGAAATTGCCAAGCTGTTCTTCAACCTAATGAAGTCAGACATGATGAAAGAGTTATCGCATCGATTGAAATGGGAAGACAGAGTCGAGGACTGGAAGGTCATCCAAAAGAACAATGTAGTTCACAGTTTCAGGTCAGAAATGTTACAATTTCGGACTCTGAATAACGCAAAGTGACTGCTGTTCACTTGTGTTTTCTATAAGTAGTATTTGATCATTTTTCCATTATAAAACTAAAAAGCTTATTTTTTAACCTGGTATGTATAAGTCATCCTTTGTATTTGTGTTTCAAACATGAAATTTTCCCAAACAACTATTTACTTCAATGTGTTCTTCCATCCTACAGGGAATTTATGGCAAATGAAGAAATACAGAATCCCCCAACTGTGAAAACAGAAATGGAAAATATGATCACACATCAGATTTTACTTAGCCAAAGAAGACTGGAGCTTCTGCAGCACCTTGGGTATGACAAAAGAGAGAACAGAAATAAGGGAAAACAGAATTCTTGCTAGGGTTAATGAGGAAGTTGACTACAAAATGCACCACTTTGCTCCTTTTCAGTGTGGGACTGTACACTGCAGCAGTAAGGCAGAGCCTAAATTTCTTTAGTAAAGCTTTTTTTAATGGAAAAAAAATATTCTTGGTTTTCACTGCACTAGTTATGCTCAGTAGGGGTGATGAAAGGCTCGAAATGCAGAAACACAAAAAGTAAATCTGACATTTGAAATGTAGTAGAAAGGGGCAGAGAAAAGGATGGGTAGAGAGATAAAACCTGGTGATCTTGTCAAGGCATTACTTGTGTGTGTGAGTTTTTAATTGGTATAATAAATTAAGAAAGGAGTCTTGATAGAAATCTAGCGCTGCTAGATATCCTAACAAGATGATGATGACTTGAGTGCAGTGCATTTAGTGTTTACAGTTTTGCTTTTACAGTGTATGTAGCAACAAGATAGATCACAGTTAGTTCCTTGTCAGTAAACAGTGGCATTGAAAACCAGCAGCCACCTTGTTTTATTTTCATTGCTGATATGGCTGTAAATAAAATAAAGCACAGTAGTATGGTTACTCTGATTCATAATTTTATCCTTTAAGGACTGGATTATACTTGAAGATATCTGACTTTTTTTTTCCTGTTTCGATAGCGATTTGTTGCCTCCAACACACACAGAAGCTGATGTGGGTGAATGGTACAAATCTTTGGAGAACGTGAACAGAAGTATGGGTAAGTTGAGAAATCCTAAAAGCAGTCTGGAATACAAACAATTCTTCCTTTTTTTCCAGGCAGTAATGAATCAGACAGTTGCTTTGAAAGTATATGTTTGCCACATTCTTTGTTCCGTCGGTTTCCATGTCCCTTCTAAGCTGCTCAGAGCTGGCAACACGACTGAAACAAGCTGGCTACTGCCCCGCCTGCCCTTTGGCAGCACAAGCATTTTTGCATGATGAGATCCAGCAGGAACTGACTTGGTTAGAATTAATTTGGGGAAATCAGAAGGTTAATTTTAATGCAGATCAGTTTTCAGTCATCAGAAATACTCCTTTTTACCTCTTGGAGAATGAGAGGGGAAGAACGTGAGATGCTTCCTGTCTCCAAGGCCCGTAATGTGCCTTCCCTCCGTGTGTCTGCCTTCTCTTTCTCCAGAGCTCGTCCTGTTTGTAGCCTGTGTAGTAGCAAAGAAATTGATGCAATTGTAAATAACTCACTACTTTGAAACATAATGATAAAAATATTTGTATTAAAACATCATGTTTTATTGGTTGATAGTGTCATCCAAGTGTGAAGACACTACTGGGATATATTACTTGTGCTGGGACTCAGCACAGGTCCTCTGCATGTTTCCATTTCACACTCCACTGTGAAATCCAGAAATCTTTACAATGGCTTGTTCTTCCGTATCCTTCAGATACCCACCATGTGCAGTCTGTGACAAAAATACGCCTCCAGTATGAGATGGTTCAGCAAAAATGTTTGGCAGAATTGCAGCTATGCAAGGTTAGTATCGTAGCTTTGCAGAGCCTTGGAAGGATTGTTGGTAATGGTATAAAATGTGTTGTTTGAGGTTTGAGGATCCACCAAAGATGGAGATAACAAGTGAAATGACTTTTTAACCTCTGTCTTATTCTGTTAGAAAACTTGCTGTCCGTTTTGTTTCACAGTAGCATGTGGTATTCGTACTAGTAACAAATGCCAGTAATGAAGGGAGTACTGTCCTGCATTTAGGTAGAGGATCCAGGGTCAGAACCCTCAGCCTTTGTGCTGAGTCTGCTGTATTTTGGGAAAGAAATTCCACACCTCTGCTTCAGTTTCTCCCTTTGTGTCCGAATAGAATTGTCCTGCTTACTACCAGAATGTGAGTTCTGAGAGGTTGAATCTTTCTCTACGCATTCACAAGAAAAGAAGAAACACTACGTTTAGCTATAGTCTCTAAAAGCCACACAGTGTTTGATGTTCTATTATGTTCATGTCAGTAACTTAGCATGCTTTTCATTTAGAATAACCTGTTGAATCTGAAACTTTGCACGCAAGAAGAGGCTGAAGAAATTGTGAATTCTGAGTTACTGCCTTTGGCTGAGAAACTACAAAATCGGTTTGAAGAAGAACTGGAACACATGGACGTATGTTTCTGACATCTCTTTTTATTACTCTCTGGGAGGAGTCTGTTCTTCCTGCGCTGCTGCCTGAAATGCCATATGCATCTTAGGCTATTGATGTCATCTTAGAAAGAGGTCCACAGTGTGACTGAACACCTGACCCACAAATAAAAAATGTGGGTCAAGTGCCTCAAGGAGAACAGTTCATAATTGTTTGGTTTATATTTATATTGAGCTGTCAGGGATGAATTAGGTATAGCTCACTCGGCCTGGAGGGAGAGGAATAGATTTAAATGATCTCCCAAATTTCTTTCAATCCTATCTCTTATAATTCTGTACATGAAAATGGCTGGGCAGTTGTTCCTGAAATAAGAGCTGGCCAGAGACTTCAGGGCATATGCAGGATTTAGTGCTTTGCAGAATTAGAGAATAAATGGAGTTTTGATAGCTCAGCCTCTAGAACAAAAATGTGCATTCTTAACCAGTTTACTCAGACTACTTTTTCCTCTCCAAGTAGAAGAGGCCATGTTGAACATTGATAGTGTCCTTCTAGACAGCCTTTTAGCATGGCATAGATCCCCTTACTCATTTACTTCACCTTCCAGCAAACAGTTTAATAATAACTTTCACTTACATATATATCTTTAGAGAGACTTCAAGGAGCTGGCTAACCAGAACGAGCAGAGCTGTAGAGACTTGTACAGCTATTTTCAGGAGGCCATGGGTCTCTGGGGTGTCCATCAAGAGAAACTGAGCCAGCAGGAAGGTGACCTTCAGAAGAAGTTAAATGAATGCAGACGGAAGCAGGATAACATAATACAGGTATAAACCTAAAAATAAGGATGTGGTATGATGTAAAGAAAGGACTTCCTCGTGCAGAGAACCCTCTGGAATTCAGAATAGCTGGTATAAAATTTAAAATGTCATCTTTGACGCTTAATACTGGAATTTCTACAGGGTAGTTTCATTCTGTCAGGTACATATTTTGCTAACAGCTTGATTCACACTGAATGAGTGTTTGTATCTTATTCGTGATATGACAGTGGTGATAAAGGTTATATTTTCTGTATTAAGTGGCTGCAAGTTTCTGTTGCTCATAAGATCTTGTACAGGTATATATAGAGACTTGTTTGTACATCACATTCTCATATTATGGGTATATCATGCAGCTTGGGGTGGCAACGTCAAAGATGTTAATTATCTATGAAAGATCTTCAAAATAGATGAATTTTGGTAAGGTAGCTTCCCTCCTTGGTGTAGAATATATGTATATAATTAAATTATTTGAATCCTAAATGGTGATGTGGCATCTTAGTAATTACTAAATCATTTTTACCGTGGTTTATTTTTTTTTATGTGGCCTTAGAGGATGGACGCTGATCTGGATATAATTTTGAAAAAAATGAAAACAGCGAGCTCTGAGGAGAATCTGAAGGCTTATTTGAAGAGTGCCCTTTCTTCTTTAGATGACATTAGAGCTAGGTATGAATTTTGTAGCACAAACTTAACAAGTAAAGCACGTTTGAATGTTGGTTGTACTACTTAGCTCTTGTTTATGCTGAAGCGTGAAGGAAAAACACTGCTTGCTACACCTAAGAATGTAAAAGAAAATAATTTCCATATTGAACAAGGTTAAGGCAAATAATACCCATAGTAGTAGTTCAGACCCTTGAATCACTAGGATCAGAAAGTAGATCTGTGCTATCTCCTGTGCTCTGGGCTCACCTGTTTGATCTCTTTCGAAGTCACAAGGACTAGAAGTTACTAAAAACTCTCAGATAGGCAGAGGATATATTTTGGTAATCTTTCTGTTACCTTTCTCATGATCAGGTATTTGCATCTTTAAAAATCACCTCAGAATTGGCACATACCAGGTCAGAGGATTAAATAGCCAGAGAAGAAGCAGTTGTATTTTCACACCTGGATGGTCTTTTCTGTCAGATTGGAGACGTATTAGAAGAGTGATGTGGACCTGAGAGGCAGATAGACAGACATGCACAAACCTCACACTCTAATTATGCTTAGAACCAACATGAATTCCATATTTGTGTAATTTATGTTGGTTCAGTACTCTTTGTATTCATTAGGACAATTTTAAATTACCCAAAAGTAACGTACCTTTTTAGGTGAGTGGAGAATACAGTGAGAGGTTGCAGAGATGGGATGTAATCTGTCTGAACATTTGAATGCTTACAGAAATTCCCCATAATGTGTATAGGAGACAAAGCAAATGTAAATAAAAACAGGTGTGAACACTGATTTTTCCTGAATCAAGACTCAGCTTGAACCATTAGTTTTCATTTCCAAGTAAAATGAAAATGAAACAGAAAAGCTTCAGTCACAGCTGAGCATGGTACAGAATTAACATGAAAGACAGTAATTTGACCTCTCACTTCTAGTATTGCTCATGTAAGCACAGGTCTTGGATAATTTCCCATCCAAAATGGAAGATCTAAAATACTTTATTATGAATAGTGCTTAACTTTTACGTATTTATATAATGAACTAATCTCTACTAATAAGCCAGGATGTGATTGTATTCAGGCTAAACAGATACAGTACAATGTTTAGCCTAAAGATTTGATGAGGTTGGTTGAAAAGTTAGATTTGGATTTAAACACATTGCAGTCATATTTCATTTTATCTCTAAACATACTTGAGTCTCTTAAACGGTGGCCTTAAACTTGACAGGTACGGGACATTCAGCCAAGTTCTAATGGATGAAGTAACACCGTACCCAGGAGCTGTTCTGCAGGAATTGATTTCCTATAGTACTTCCATCAGCCAGTATTTTCATGTAAAGGAAATCTTCAAACAGGTATAAAGAACACAAACTGCTTCTGCTTTAAAATCTTACTGGTGTATTCATTTTTCACTTTGGGGAAAATTTACATTAGCTGAGCATGCAGAACTAGGGGGAAGCTTTACACAGGTAAGTGAGCAAGAAGGTGGAGGGAGTCTTGCTCAAAATAATGCTGAATAGGAAGTCTATTTGCTGAGGTAAGTCTAAAGTCCTGAAAGCAGATTAGATTTAGTTTTTACACAAAACACACAAGAGTCTTTACTGTTTTCATTTATTTCTGGACTGTTAGGGCTTTCGATCATTTTATGGGCGAAGGGAGTGTATGAAACTGTCTATAACCATTCCTTTTGCACTACTTTTATCCTTGTAGAAACCTTTGTATAGGATTTTTTTTTAAAATATCTTTCTTTCGTTGTAGTATTCTTAGCCCATGGTGAATGATTTATGCTGTATTTGTACTGAAGTACTGTTTTTTTCAGGTCTTTAGTTACCTGAATTTAGTCCCATAACAAAAACCTTTTAAAACATTGATGACTCTGCTGGTTGAGACTTGCAAGCTTATTCTCTGTATGAACTGAGAATGAGAACATTATTCTTAATATCCTTAGGATTCCTCAATTAGCTTGTGCACTGTGGATTCTATACTTGTATCTTGAAAGGTAACAGATGATGATTTCCGTCTGTTTCCCAGGATGTATTCAACAGCAGCAAGGCAGAAAGCTCCGAAAATGACAATGAGACTTTTTCCACTTCTAGTGGAAATTCTTACACAGTTTTTGAAGAGACCGACACTGGCATCCCAAAGACTTATTTTACCAAATATGAAAGTAAAGGATCACTGCCAGTGTACCTGAAGGATGCACTTATCAATGAAACCATGTTTGTAGATCTGAAGAAAAGGTTAGTAGAAAACAGTTTATGTTCTTTCTTTCCCTTTAGGTAATAGACAGCTGTTTGGAAGAAACATTAGACTAAAGATGCATAAAAGTATCTAATTATTTTGATGTCATTCCACTTTTTAAATCGATAAAAGTAAGAGAAAATTTTTATATTGCTTTTTATCCTTGGCTCTCAAAGTACCACACAAGCGTTCACCTCTTACAGAACATCCATGTTTTACAGAAAATTGTTTACTGAGAATACATAGTACAGAAAGGCAAGTAATTTGCCCAAATTCCCTGCAGAGTCATGAAGGTAACATGCCTGGTACTCAGTAGGGCAGCCAGCTTAGAAACTCTGCCAGTATGGTGCAAGTGGTAGTGAAACTGCACCTTCCTAGAGTCAGAAGTTAAATTCCTGGAATTGATATATTGAATATATTCTTGTTTATTACTTATTGTTCCTCACTGGAATATTTCTTTTTTCAATCATAGGGTTCGCCTTTGCTTTTTTGAACACTTGGAGAAGTGGTTTGCAGAGTCCGTGTCCAGGTCACATGTCCTTGTGGCTGACAAGAAAGAGGAGCTGAATTCGGAACTGCAGATGCGTCTTCACTCACATCAACAGAGGTGTGAGAATATTGAGACAAACATCTGCAATGCTAGAGCCGGTACTGACGTTTTTTACTCTAAACATTACGTATTCTCATTTAGAGATGATCATAAGTGGCCCAAAATCTCTTTCAGCATCAGTTGACTCAGTAGTAGATGGCAATAGGAAGCAGTTGAGTGTCTACTAATTCCTAGTATAATATGTTACTCATCTATTTTTAAAAAGATTTTTTTTCTATAGCTCTTACCGGTTTGTGCTATGTTATGTTTGGAAAATTCCCAGCAGTGCCTCGATCAGTGACTTGATTGTAAAAGATGTAGAATATTCCATTTCTCTTGTCAGTATTTGTGAATCCTCATTCTCCTTGAAATTATTTAACAAGAGTTTGCAATGTACAAAAATTATTATTAAAAGTGTGGCAGAAAAAGAATTAGCAAGTGTTGGGAGAGATGAAATGCCAGGGCTTGGCTTCTGAATACAGGAGAGGAAGGATTTAGCTATATGGAATATCACTGAGAGGCAATGGATTGGCCACTAATCAGAACTCTTTTTTTGTATAAGAAGTATTCTTTTTTGGTGGAAAAAACCTACTTAAGACAGGTTTATTGGTCTTTAACATATAAAGTAAAAAATTCTCTTTTGGGAGAGCAAGCAAATAATTTTTCAATTCCACTTTTTCCTGCAAAGAGCACAGGTGCCTTTTCTGGCAGTTTTCTTGAGGTTGATCAGCATGTTCTTGATTCATCCAATTATCATTCCAGAAGGGAGACCCAAATAAGTTTTTGGTTTTGCTTTTCACAAAAATAGGGAGAAGCCTATTTTCCATGAAGAATAAAAAATCCTTTATCTTTGCCACAAGACTGAGAACAGAGAGATAATGTCAGCAGTGACTGAAAAATAAAGGGAAAAGAGGGCTTAGAGCAAACAAAAGATATTTGTCATTTGGATTAGGAGCTGCCAGGGATATAGATGTCAAACACAGGAGTGTCCTGGTTCAGCTAGAATAGGGTTAAGTTTCCCCAGCAGAGAGAGGGAAGGGATCTCCAGCCGGGTTATTCATACCATGCTGACGTCAGGTCCAGCGCGGGAACTTGTTTCCTTTGTGGCTTTGGTAGCGGGGAGCACACGAGCGAGCTGTCTGTAACCGCTGCGGTATCTCTCTGTATATCTTTTGTCTTGTTTATTGTTATTGCTGTTTATTGTTGTTATCATTGCTACTGCTGTTGTTCAGATTGCTTATTACACTGTTGTATTAAATTGCTTCTTATTTTAAGCCGGGGTTTGTGCCCTACTTGTGTCTGAGGGTGGGGGAGGGACAATGGCAACGTGGTCTCCGTTCCCGGCGGGGCTTAAACCAACACAAGGAGAAAAGTCAAAGAAAAAGAATCGGATGTATTTTATTTGTATGTTTTAGCCACTCCAAGATGTGGCTCAGGTTATTTTATTGCTCATTCTGACAAGAGGTTGGCTGCTGGTTGTGCTGGTCATTATTGTCATTTACCGTGGACTATCTTGTAAAATTTCTTTTCTTATCAGCGGAACTGGTGCATCACAAAGAGCGCCTGGAGCACCACTGTGCAGGGGTGGTGGAAGCTCTGGAAAAGGAGAAAGCTGAATTTCTCAAATTCTATGATCAGCAAGATAACCTAATGAAAAACTTACATTCACGAATCTGTGAGATGGAGTCTGTCTACCTCAATACTGCTCGGACCGAGAAGTAAGTGTGCCACAGGTATTGCTGGCTGTGACGTCCCACAGTTGAATACTCCCGACTGCTGAGACGTTTGTGGTTTGCATTCTGAATCTACGTTCCTTTTTAATGATGACTGTTTTGTGAAACTTTAAAGAGATGTAAAGAGTTTTTGTTTCCTTTATCTTTCCCTGAAGAAATTAAAATCAGTACTGAATGGATGACAGTTTTCATCTCTTCAAACCGCTGGCAGCCTTAAAGTAGAAAAGATGTTTGCTGTGTTGAGGTTCCATCCAGTTCACTGAACCTGCATGATAACAGCAATTGATGGGTTTTGAGGGACATTCTTCTGTAGCATCAGCTGTTTGCTGATATCTTCTGGATGCTCATCAAAACAGTCACAGTCCAGCGAGTTGCTTTCAGAATACTAAACCTCTCTTGAGTTCTCAGATGTGTCCTTACAGCCAGCAGTCTCTGAATCGTAACGCGTGCTCCTCTTTCTACATGTTTTCCCTGTCTTCTGTTATTTGCTGTTAGGTTAACTTCATTGAGCAACAGCATGCAGACAGAGCTACAGAACCATCTGGAAGTGTTCCAGGCTGCCCTGAGGAGTTACAGGAAGGATTTGGAGGACTCTTTAGGAAAATTAAAGGATTCAAATGCGGAATTTCTCAAAGCTTGCAGGTATAGAAGTTTTATTGGAGTGTTGTTTATAAATAGTAACCTATTTCTGGGCATCAGTGTTTGCTGCATAGGCAGAACAGTAAAATTAAAGTTTATTTTGTTATTCATCTAGTTTGCTATTTAAAAAAAAAACCAATTCATTTTGTCAAGCCACAATTATTATACTGTTTTCATCACATCTGTGTTGATATCTGTGTTTTAGTCTTTGAGAAGAGGAAGACTCGTAACCAATTGTTTTTACTTTGGTGGTTGCTTTCAGATTATCTTTGGAGGGAGGTAACTTTTCTGCTGAGGAGCTACAGTCTGTCAGCAAGCGTCTTCAGAAGGAAAGCAAGCGTATTGACACTTTTGAAAGTTTAATCATGGCAGATATGGAAAAAGTGGAATCGAGCTGCTTGGAAAAGGTGTGTGGCGTTTCCTTCTTTCAAATTATGTATTATATTCGCATATTTGATGTGATTTATAACCATCCTGCTCCCAGATTGGGACTGTAAGACTCTTCTGTGTGGCAGATGGAATTAATTGCATGATGGAAAAAATAAGTAGAAATGGTGAGCTCTATTATTTAAGTTTTAAAAAGTGAAGACTAATCTGTTCTGTCTCTTGTTTCTGGCATTTTTAAAGGCTACTAAACTTATCGACCAGACTAAAACAAGATTCCATTACATCTTTATGAATCGAGAATTTATGGAGAAGATCCGACGATTTCTGACAAATCTACGAGTTCAAATCAAATCAGAGGTATGTGCAGAAACATCAGAACTTTGTTGAAACGAATTATAATAATTTCTCCTTTATTCCGTTGAAGACATTTTTGGCTGAATTCAGAGTGGAGAAACATTAAGGGACTTTTTGTATTAGTTCCAAACCTGTTTTCTGTCATTATAAGCTTAAAACAATGCCTTTACTGCTGCTGCAGCTGTTCTGGAAGACTGTAATCTTGCAGCAAGTTGAGTATGTACACCTGAAGAGACCGTTATTTTTGGGTGTTGCAGTAAAGGATGTGAAATGTTGCTTTTGTGAATTACTGCTTTTCAGCCTCTCCTCTGAATACCAGTGATGGAGTGCTTTTACCAGCAAGTCTAGTGGTTTCAAAGTGGAGCCTCTGAAAATCTCTTGAATGAGATTTCACTTCACCCTTATCTGCTTCTGCTTTAGGTAGCAAATTCCAATATGCAAGCAGAAACACTGAAGTCTTCTCTCAATAAGCTCCGTCAGAAGAGAGACACTTATGCTAATCCTAGTGCAGATAAAGAAGTAAGTTCTAATCAGCACAAAATGATACCTAATTTGATTCACTGTGCATGTTTGTCTAATGTGTAAAGTAATATTTTTGAGGCAGACTTATGTTTATACACATTTGGGGTGGGGTGGGGTGTGGACAGAGGTACTTGACCACAGAATTTTTGCTCGGGAAGGTCCTGTACCTGTTTCCCTGTTTGCCCACAAAAACCTCAGCCTCTCTACAATCTCATTGCTCCCATGTATGTGCCATTGAAATGGTGACAGGACATAATCAAATGATGTTGTACGCAACAGTCAGCACATCTGAAAAGTCTGGAAGAGCTAGCTGAGTAAGTGCCATCTGTGTTGTCATATCTTTCAGGCTTTGACCTCTGAAGAACTGCATGATTTTGTCAAAGTCGTGCTGAAAGAACTGAAGAAGAGGAGCCAGTACCTTGACTGTGTGCGGGTAAAAGCAGTGAAGCCTCATGATAAGGTAAAAGAGCATTGAAGTTCTCTATATTTTATTTAATATTGAGTGAATTTTTATGTGTGTATATGTTAAACGTTTTTCAAAATCCGTGCTTTGAATTTTCAAATGAAGAAAGATGCTGCATTATGCCAAGCTACCCACGACATTAGGTCAGCTTTTTTGAGAGGCTGAGTAAATCAATCACCACTGAGTTTATTAAATGTTAAAGACGCACAGTTCAGCGAGGGTTTATTTTCGAGATATATCACTAACCACAGACACATATTTCAGGGTTTCTTTAAATAATTAAATAATCAAATGTGTCCTGAAGATTATTTTTTTTTAATCAGGTTGTGGTTTTTGGGTTTTTTTTAACTTCCTTGTCTGGAAAGTCTGTCTTTATTTTGATAATCTACAGAGGATCATTGTTTGAAGGGTACATACTTAAATACTGCTTATGATAATTACGAGAATCTACTCATAACTACTTCTGAGTGTCTCAGAGTTGTATAGCTGTAACAATATTACTGCTAGAATTATAAAAATCTTTCAGCTTGTGAAGCAAAATAGTACATGTTTGGAAGATCTGCTTTTTATAATCAGTAACTACATGTAATGCTTTCACTAATTGCCTGGCACAGTCAACAGGGTTTCATTTTTCTTCCCATTTCAGGAGGACCTTACCCCTCTTGAAAGGGATGTGAAGTTACAAGGTCCAACTGATGCTGCCATTCGAAGAGGCTGCTGCCATCGTCTCAGAAATGAGAACAGAGTGGCACTGATGGGGATGGATCCTGAAAAACATCCTTTGTTAAGTCCAAGCAGAATGGGAAAGTCTGCACTTGATGATTTAGCAATAGGTGTTATCAAAAGTTTACTTGAGTAAGTACTTGTTTGCCTTAAAGTATTTTTCTGTCACTGTCTTTCTATTTTCTTTGCTATCTATATCTCTTGTCTTCACGAGGATCACGATAACGCTACAAGGGGCTTCACTACAGTATCTTTTAAATTGACATTCCAGAAACATATCAAGGTTTTCCTGAATCCATAGTTTGTAGTTTACCTTTGTATATACAGAACAATTGAACATGTAGTTCATAGGTAATGCTACTACAAACTTTCTGTTCAGTCTAGCTTTAAAAATCAGTATAGCTGAGACTACTTTCTTTTAAAAGCACAATTTCTAATAGCCAGAAATACCCCATCGTGAGTGATAAGTGACATCTAGATAACAGCGTCATGATAGATTTTAGGTATTAAATTTTTGTCTTCCGTAGTATTATTTTAATTAAAAGGTGATTACATGCTGCATAGTTGAATGAGCATGCAAAATGTGAAATGAACAGCACGACAAGTGTGTGATTTGCAAACGCATATTTTAATGCACAGTTTTGCTTGTAGAAATTCTGAAATTCCAGTTAAACAATTAGTTACTCCCATGCAAGTACTTATCTTTACACTGTCCGTTGTAAAAGTAATCCTGTCTGTTAAAAGTTATCTCAGAAATGGAACTGAAATTAGCACAGGGTAGGGATAGAGAACTTAGGTGATTTTCCATATAACATGTAATATTTTATAGTATAGAACAGAATATGGTAGGGTATTCAATAGCCACTTAGCTCTTTTTTTTTTGTTTTAGCATTCAACCATCGGGAAAATCTTCAGGCCCAAAGCAGGCGAAAGATCGTTCACGTCCACTACAACCAGGTGTGCCAGCATTTCTTTTAATATATTACATTCTTCTAAATTGTAGTTCCTAACATATCCCTGAGCAGGTCTAGCATACTCCACGCCAGTGGCTTACATGCTAGCTCTGAGAGAGTTATGCAGCCCAACTTTTTTCTTGGCTATCTTTACTTTGCAATAAGATGATCATTTTATAAAGAGTACCCATATTTGTGATAGCAAAAGAGAAAAGGGGTGGGAAAAAAAGGAGAAGGGAAGTAATGAAAATCTGTAGGGGATCAGGGATCCTTCTCAGTGTATTATCATTCACTCAGAGATGAGTGAGAGGCAACCCCAGCTGTTCCCTACCCGTTTCCCTGTCTCTCTTCTCCAGAGCTTGACTCCTCCAGCCACATTCCCGAGTCCCCATCCCAGCCAGGACTATGAACTGTAGCCCCTTCACTCTCCTTCTTACTCCCTGACTGAATGTGGTTTTAAATCTCCTCCCATCTACTATGTATTTTCTAGAACATTCCCATTACTCATGCCCCAGGGCACAACCTTGATTTGGTGTTGCCACTGCTGGGTTTCTTCAGTTCTGGCCGCAAGAAATGATTGTTCCTGCAGTTGTCCCTTTAATGGTGTAAAGAAACGTAGAAATGAGAACAGAAACCATATAACCATCCCAACAAAAAGACTTCAGTTGGCATTTACATGATGTTCTTCATCTTTCCTTGTTAATTATAAAGCAATGCTTCCTACATTAAAGAAGGATTCACACTTGAAGGTATCAAAGGCAGGCCCTGGGCATTCCACTACTGACAGCAGTGCGGCTCAGCACACCAGGAAGTCACCACCCAAGGAAAAGATGACCAGTAAGTTGTCATCTAAGAAAAAGATGTCAACAAGAAGGTAAGACCCCTGGAAGGAGGAATTCCACTTACAGTGTTCCTACACAGAAATTTACCTAAGTTGTCCACTGCCTGTTCTCTGAAAAATTCTTAATGCTTATTTGTATTGACCTTCTATCCATCCATGCTTATAATTTGGGATCCCTTCCCTGGTTATGTCCTCGTGATCAGCTTGGCAGTTTTTTTGAGATTTTGGATGGAAAAACACACTTCTCTTTCTCCTTCATCTGCTGTTGTTTTGTATGGTGAAGTTCTGAAATGCAGACTAACCCCACTCTTAAATCAGTATGGCTTTATTTTCAGGTCTGGCGTCTGTAGTGTTTGTCTTTAGCTTCATCCATAGATAGATGAAATGAGCTACTGTGATAGTGAAAACAACAGCAAGTTTTGAAGAGCTGTTGAGAAGAGAATCTTCAGAATTTTTTTCCATGAAAAAACTGTTTTCATATCATACTAATTTAAAGTTACATTTTTCAGAGTTTCATGTCCATCATATGACTGACTAGATCAAATAATCAGCCAGAGAAGGAAAATACTTGTGGAGAGTTTCAAATTAATGTCTTTTTTTCTCCCTAGGATACAGCTTGTCCGCGAGAGATACCAGATATTTGGAGAGAAGCCTCCAGAAGCTGAGTAAGCCATATATATTTGCAGAAAGAGAAGTTGATCTGCAAAAGCCCCGTATCTTATAATCATGGACTATAGAGTTCACAATTGAATTTTGACATATTTAACCTGGATATTTATGGGTCAGAGTGTTTACAGAACAGCTCCCTTTCACAGCATAATAATAGTGAATATAAAAGCCATTTTATGCTGTGTGTTGTCTGAAATGGGTGGCCTCATTGGAGCCCATTTTGTACATTAACAAAAAAATGGACTGGAAAAATGTAAAGGAGCCTATCTTTCAGTCATTTTCACCCCTAAGAAGATCAGTAAATTTTATACGCTGCATTCTTGTGCTCAATATTACATTTACAGGAATAAATAAGGAAGAGACTGTTTAGGAGAAGATTTCTAAATGGTTCCATTCTCCTTCTCTGAGAAAATTATCATATGTTTTCTTGATATGTGCAGCTGTTGTACTATATAGAATTGAGAGATTTCCTATGTGCCATGCAAAACTATCAAAATTAATGCCTAAGAGGTTTAAGTGCTTGGGAATTTTGTCCCACACTGTGTTTCAAAATACTTCCAGTAAACAACTAGACCCACCTTCAAATATTTTTGGTTTACCTTAAGCTCTTAAGGTAAGTTTTCAGCACGGGAATTGGCTGGAATTTGTCACAGTGAGGTGGGAGCCTTCTCCAGCAAGCATTTACAAAAGCTCAAAATCCTTGCTGCTTCTGAAGAGCATCTGTACTAATGGGGAATGGGGGTGAAGCTTCTTCGGCATTCTGAGTATTTGTTTGCATATGCTCTGAAAAAAGTATTAAAATAAACCTGAAAATATTTGAAAAGTGGTAAATATTGTCAATGTGATTATTTTACAGTGCGATTGTCCTTTTCATTATTTTTTCATTTGTTTGCTTTCAGGACATTTAAGGGGATTATTATGAATGTCCTCTGGACAGGCAATAACAGCTTGCTCTCTCTTGCTGAGGTAAGAAAACACAGTGTTCTTCAGTCACTTTTGCTTTCATAGGTCAACTCCTGTGTCAACTAAATAATTTGGTTCTTCACAATGTTTGGATGGCCACGCAGAAATTTTCATTTCTTCACTAGTGCATCTATTTTTTAAGTAATAACCGACATGGGTACTTTTAATCAGTTTTCTTCATTAATATTAACTAAGCATGTCAGAATCAGAGGAAGAAAACTGGTTCCAGATCAGAGGGCGGTTGATAACCTTTACGTATCCCTCCTCCTGTTATATGCCTGCATGTGGCTTGTTTGAATGTGTTATCAACAACTTTTCTGTTTTATCTTTACCTGTCAAAGGAGTTCTACAAAGAAATGAATCCTCAAATGGAACTGCCAGAAGATCTGCCAGAGACATTTGAAGATTGTGCACAACAGTTCAAACAGACGCTGTTGTCATACCAAAGACAGACGGAAGATTACTACAATTCCTGTCTTAAAGGTAAATTCATTCAGTTAAGACTTTTAATTTCTTGTGTATGTAATTTTTCAGTCATGTAAACTGAAAATTGCAGTGATTTATGGTGACTTTCTTAATCCATCACACTCAGTGGAAAAATTCCAGTTGATTTTACTGGAAATTGGGTCAATATTCTCTCTGATATATTATCAGCTGGAAAAAGCATGGCAGAAGGGCCCTTGACTAAGTGGAAAGGCCTGTACAAGGTCACATTTTTTAGCGAGTGTATGTTTCTCAAAGCGTTGGACCCTGAAAAAGGAATGGCAGGGACAGAATCTCTGTGAGAGAAAATTCCGGGTGGTTTGACCCTTGCAGTGTACATTCCACTCAGCCAAGTGGTTTTTATCCTTGCAACAAATGTGTCAGATAAACACCTTCTCTTTTCCAAACAGAATTTCAAGATCAATTGAGTCTGTTTGAGAAGGAGCTCGCTTACGTCCCCCGACTGGCCACTGACAGACTTTTAAAAGAACACGAGCAGAAGCTCAGATATTCCATAAGTCAGATTCATCATCGCTTCAATAAACAAATGAAAGAATGGGAGAAAGTGAGGGTATGTATCATGGAGGTATTGGAATGCTTCCAGTGCAAGCAATGCTAGATGCATTGGAATGATAACATTTTATTAATCTCACTGTTTGCTTAATCACTCGCTGCTGAGCTAGCTGCAGAGTTCATTTCCATGTTTGCAGTTTGTGTAGTTCTACTGGAAGCTTTCTCTTTCTAGTAATTCAGCCCCTGCTCTCCCTGCTTCCAGCACTGAACTGCATCTTTATAATCTCGTAGAGTTCTGCCTGTCATCTTCCACTTAGACTGTAAACTCTTCAAGGGCTGTGGCACTGTGGTATGGCTGTACAGCTCCTACAGTGTGCACTCCTCTGTAGGTACTATGACTTACGGGTCATGAAATAACAGTATTGACTTTCTTTCAGAAAAGCAGTCTATTCTGTCCAGTAATATCAGAACTGAAAACTGAATCATAATGGAGATTGTGCAGAAAATGTTACACAGTAGTATCTTGAGATTTTGACCCTCTGAGTATTAAGTAAAACTCAGGAAAAAACAAAAATATAAAGATGTAAAAAGATCTTGTTTGCTACTTGCTAAGGGAGGTTATTATTTGTTGAAAACAAAAGCCAATGTGAGATCAGAGGCCCTGTTCTCTAGCAGATAGGCAATTTGGCGTATACTGCACTGCAAAGTTTGTCTCTAGACAGCCAAGAAATACTGAATTGTCTTCGTCTTTCTGAATACTTTTGTATAAAATGTGTGGAGTTTACTTCTTCCTTGCTACGACTCAATTGCACATTCTCTGCTGAAAGCATTTCTTTCCTATATATTTATTCAAAGGTTGTGCACAAGACTCTGTTAAAATCCTCTCTGGGCCACCCCCAAAACCTGCTTAAACTGGAGACTTTGTGCTGTGAGGAAACAAAAAGACAAAAAGATCAAGTTGATGGCATTCACCTCAACACACAGGCTCTTCAGGTAACTGCAAAGGCATTGCTTCACATGAACTTAGAAGTTGCATTTGGAAAGGAGAGCACAGCTGGGATACAGTTTTTCCTCCCCATCAAAAGTAAACTGGAAAACTTTTTCAATTTTAGGCAATCTTGTTCATGGTATCTTTTAAGTGATGTAGTGTCAGCATCAGATCAATATTATATACCGAAGCGCATATGCACATGTACACGTGCATGGATTTGTTGTGGAACTGACCGACCTTTTGTGTCAGTCATAGAACTCGCCGAGGAAGGGATGTCTTAGAGCTTAAGGGTAGAATGATTGGATATAAATCTAAATTGGGAGCAACAGTGACATCCTCTGGTTAGTTATATTATGCAGGCAACAGATACCTGGCAGAGTTCCTTCTGCGTGCGTTTTGTTAGTGCAAATCATTGGCATTTTTCTGCACTGGAATAAGCAGAATTATACAGGAGAGCTTCAGGAATCAAAACACTTTGCCCACTCCATCCCCTGGGGTTCCTGAAGGTCAGTTCCCCAGCATTAAAGCTATTTGTTTCCTTCCCCCAGGCCACTTAGTCAAAATTCTATGCTGTCTGTAGAGTATGTAGAGATTGAATTCCAGAGTAATACCTCCTTCTCCTCTTGGCTCTGCATACACACAGGGAAACACACATACCCTGTTTCAGAATAATGCCTGGCCAAAGCACTTCCACCCAAAGCACCCACATTTCAAAATGGCCTTTGCTTTAGGCAGAAGGATGCATTTACAGACAGCTGTTTTTATCAGGATTGGTTGCTCAACCCAGATAAACAGCTACTGGGCACCTATACACAGAACTCCACATTTTTGTACTTTAGGTAGTAGGGTAGTGTTGAGAATACTGCAGAGAGGCACTTTTAGACCCTTTTATGTGCAATTTTGGAGCCTTATGTCAAGGTTGGCTACTTGTGTAGTTCTTTTGGAGCTCAACTAAAACAAGAGGAGATCAAATTATCAGAGGAATTCCTCTCGCTTGTGTCCCAACAGGACTGTGCGGCAGAGTGCGCTCGGAACTTTGTTTCTGCTCTGGCTGCACTCACTGAAGAACTGCTGCTGGATTTAGATGAAACTATCACTAGTGATGACATAGAAGCACCGAGTAAGTAAAGATGAGCTTGCTTGTTGAGGCCTCTGCTTCTGACTCAAAGACTGCAGCAGACTTTCCCTCGGAAGAGGAGAATTTTCTATGCTCTAGTACTTTCAATGGAAAGATTTGCACGTTCAAGCAGGCAGAGCTGTTTCTTGAAAGTGCAGAGCATCTAGCTGCATGTAGTCACTGCAAACCAATGGTACTACTGCCACTGAGTCTATCTCCTGTTATCTCCCAGAAACCAAATCACCAAAGAAGCCGCCATCTACTCTGCCTCCTCAGAGACAAGCTGGCCTCCCTCTATGTACCTGCGATGTTGAACGTGGGAGCAGGTAATGACTGAAGACCCTGAACACTCTTCTGTGTAATTCCTCTTCTCTGAACGGATGCCAGGCACTCTCCTCAGAGTTTGTTGCTGCACTTGAAACTGCTGAATACTGTGCTCATCATAATGATGCAATTTGACTAATTATGGGGCGGTTTGGGTGGGTAATGATTTTGAAGAAAGAGTAGCAATGGATCCAAATAAAAGTGAATTACATGTTGCATTGTAGAGCAATACAATTTCAAAACTATTGCTGTGCCACTTTGCTAGCCAGGCTTGAAAAAAGGCTTGAAAATAGCTGGAGTGTATTTTCACTCAGAAGATATGAATTCTATTTACTGTGCAGAGAATCTGAAGCTTTGAAAGAAAAGGTGGTTGCACTAAGTGAGTTTTTCAGGTGAAGATTTAAGAAAAAAAAAATTGATCTTTTGCACTTCAAGTAACATGAATTAATATGATCTGCTCTCTTTTTGAACTTTCTCATGTGTTTTTTGGTTGGTTGATTTGTTCTTTTAAAGGACTTGGCCGGGAATACCCAGGACTACTCTCCCAGGCCATCCAGATGATATTCTGTGCAAAGAAACAGCGTCAGTCACAACAGCAAAGACGACGCTGGGCCACATAGCAGCTGAAGAAGCGAGAGATGCTGCCTATAAGGTTGGTCTGTGGGAAAGTCGTGAGCAGGGCTGCTACTGTTTGTGGGTTTTTTAGGAAGAAAATTACAGCTAGGCATAATTTTTAAATGTACACAGAGTCTTGAGATCTCAAAGCCTTATTAGCAGTGTAGAAATCCTCTCGTGTCTGCTTCGTTGCGATGTCAAAAGCAGACAGAGCTGGTTTCTCAGGGAGCCCTCTCCTCCGGATACATTCCAGTGGGGAATTGTTTCAGCAGAGAAGTGTGGACAGTGTCAGAAACAGGACACTTGGTGCATTTCAGCAGCATCACAATTCGAAAAGGAGCTGCTGCCAGAATGCCATTTCAGTGCAGCTGGCTTTCACTCACTCACCTTTCTTTGCAGAGCCTGCAGCTCTAGCCTTAGATCACAAAGGCTGATTTGTCCATAGAAGGTGAAGGGCTGTAAGATACTTAATACCTGTCTCACGTCCTCAACTGTCACATGGTTTCCACCCTAAAAATGATCACTCTGTCTTCACTAACTCTGCTAAAAGACTGAACACATTCCAGACAACTCTGAGACTGACTCACACTGCTGGTAGCTTGTGAAACAGTAGTGGTCAGCAATTAGGAGAATATTCTTATGTTAAATCATTAGGAAATACATGATCAGTGTTTATGCGTCTGTCCTGGAAAAAATTGTACTCCCAGTGAACTGAATTAATTTTTTTTAATAAATATATTTTTAATAGGGAAATGTAAAATACGGTCAGCAATGGCAAATGCCATCAAAACTATAAATTTGCACGTGTTATGTATTGAGGTGTGGTACTGAAGCACCTGGTTATGGTACAGTTTTGAAGTGACCATAGTTTGTCAGCAGGGTGTGATAGAGTAAATGCACACCACAGAAATATTTTCCTGAACATATGATGACTTAAAAATATATTATTTTCTATTTGGGAGCATGGACCCTTTAATAAAGGTGCCTTGAGGTTTCCATGGTAGTCTACAAGTTTCTGTTTAGGTGCAATACTGTTTTTGCAGCTTTGTAACAGTTCGGCTCATACTTGTGACTTAGGGAGTTTGGGCAAAAGCCAGAGTGCATTCTGCGTCTGAGATGCATGCTTTGCTCTCTGCTCTGTGGAGGAGGCAGCTCTTTAAACTTAGGAGCTAATGGAAGCGAGATGAAGATCTTGCATTTTTAGCAAAATCTAAATATTGCTGGTAATTGAGTTTCAGAAGTCTTTTAAACAGAACACGGGGTGGGGTGGAGAAGGCAGTGAATAATTCATTGTTCGTATAGTTCTGTTGTCAAAAGCAGAAAATAAGTGGCCTGTACACAATTTTCTGACACAGTGGATCAGGACCTGGATTTAGGCAAAGTAAAATTACCTTTTATCACTACCAATTTTGTACTTTACTATTGTTTTTGTTGTTTATACAGGAATACATATGTCAACTTGAGCAGCAGTTTTCCCAGATGAGGGAAAAAAGCACAGCTCAGCTGCTGGCAGTTCAAGGCTGGGAAGAGTGGTGGAAACGATCAGTCTGGAAGATCAAGAGACTCTATGAGTGAAGTCAGCCCAATCTTGCTGACGTCCTTCTGATCACCGTTGATGTACACTGACAACTTTGTACTAGTGTCAGTGATTGTACAGATTTAGTCCCACAGAATTTTTAAATTTTTTAAATTTCTGCTGCACTGAACAAGTGCAGTGGTGAAAGGAGTCATTTTTTACTTCTTGGAATACAAAATCTGATGAATGTGCTGTAAATAAAATGTAGACCTCTGTGCAGTGCTTCCTAGTCGGATCTCAGCCAGTGGAACGCTAACTCCTTGTGGTGCTAGCTGCAATATGAGAATCTGGAAAGCTCGGAGCCCGAGCAGTGGATTTGCACTGAAGTTCACGTTCACGACTCTGGCATGGCTGAATGTTTGTGTCATGGCACAGCCTGAGGCTGTAATAGTCAAAGCAGCGTGTTTAATAATGGAGTCCAGCAAGGAAACTTTATCTTCAGCAGAGACAAAGCACTTCCCTCGGATATTCCTCTCTTCACATTCTGAACGACACTGAACTCACAGCTTGCTATTTCAGGTTTAAAATCTGAACTACGGGTTTAGAAGTCTGAAATAGTTGATCTGCAAAGAATATTTTCCATGGACGGGTCTGCGAGTGAGGTATTTATCTGCAGTCCAGAATGCTTTCCAAGGCAGAGCTTGAAGATAACGTTCTGCTTTGTTCTGGGAGGTCAAGCAAGTTCACTTCAGAGTAACACAGCTGCTTTCAACCATATCGCTTCCAAAAAGACTCTGAACAAGTTCAAGGAACCTGAGTCACTATTAAAAAGGCTTTAGCTATCGTTTGTGTGGTGGTTTGACTTTGGCTAAATCCCAGGTACCCACCAAGTTGCTCGGTCACTTCCCCGCCTTCCCTTTGTTTTCTCAACAGGGCAAAGAGGGGAAAGAAAATAAGATAGACCAACCCTTGTGGGTAAAACAAAAGCCGTTTTAATATAAACAAAGCGAACCAAAGGTCCACGTGCAGAAGCAAAAAAAGAAAACAGATTTATTCTCTACTTCCCATTAACAGGCGATGCAGGGCCTTCTCAGGAAGCAGGGCTGCCATACGCGGAGCGGTTGCCTTGGAGGACCAAGGGTGACTCCCCCCCCGCTTTCTCCTTTCTCCCAGCTTTACACTGGAGCAGATATCACATGGTCTGGAATATCCCTTTGGTCGGTTCGGGTCAGCTGTCCTGGCTGTGTCCCCTCCCAAGATCTCGCCCACCCTGTCCCACTGCGGGGGGAAATGTCGGAAGGAGCCCTGGTGCTGTGTAAGCACCGCTCAGCAGTAGGCACCACCCTGCAGCTCCCAGCATCAACCACAGCACCACGGGGCTGCTGTAGGGGAAAAACAATTCCAGCTCAGTTTGTTAGGAGATTCTGTCCTTAACTGCAACCACATCTATTTCATTTTTGTTTGCATTCATTGTGAATCCTAGAGTTTTAAATCCGTTGAGGACAAATACGGTAAATGTCAGTGAGATGGTTTTAGAGGCAGGGAGACATTCCAAACTCATCTAGCTCCGGCGTTGTTGCAGATTTGTAACATGGAAACTGAAGCAAAGGGGCAATGCCTCAGCTGTGCTCCTAATGATGCAATATTTCAAAATATGTGGATTACTTTTCCTGAGGGATTAGATGTTTACTCTGTAAAGACACATGGAAGTATGCTATGCCTGTTACAATAGCTGAAACTGCACCAAAATAACCAGAAGGCCCATCTTTTTTTTTTATTCTGTGTTAATTTTACTATTTAATTTGAGCATAATTTTTATTCTCCTTTATTTTATCTGTTCACTATCCTCTGTCCTTCCACACCACCCCTGTTCTGTGCTCCCAGTCTCTGTATGCCGTGGTGGTAAGTGCATGAGGATGGCCAAGTGCAGGAGATGAGAATCCTCGGGAGACTCTCTGCAAAGCGCTGCTGACTTGGGTTTTCACTTATGCTTTGGGGGAAAATTCTGAGAGGATGTTCATGAAATTGGGAAGTGGTATCAAGCTGGGAGGGGCTGCAAGCACCACTGAAAACAGAATTCAGTCAAGGCTTGATGTTTTAGAAAAATCCTGAAAATGGAGTATCATTCTGTAAAGTCAAATACAAGGTTCTACATGTCATAGACCTGGCTAGGAGAGGTTCTGCAGAAAAGATGTTTGGATTACGTTTGGCCACGGGCTGAATGTCATCACCAGTGCTGTGTTCCTGCAAAGTAGGTAAGTATCATACAGGAACATGCGAACTGTCACAGCACTTTGGTTTTGTGAGTTAATCCTGCTTTACTCAATACTGCTGCGGGCTCAGCAGAAGTATTTGGTTCGGTTTAGCAGGACCTGTCATGAGAATGGACTGATCACGGGGCTTGAAGTTAACAATTACAAGGAAGTTTGAAGGAGTTGTGATGGTTGACCTCACTGAAGAGGGAAGGAAACATCATAGCCTTCAGGTATGGAAAGGGAGTCTCCGGGTGGATGGTCACTGTCACAAAAAGGCACGGACCTGACGTGCAGCCAGTGAGGTCCTGCATGGAGTGAGGAAGCCCCCTGATGAGAAGGGCGGTGAAGCGCTGGCACGGGTTGCCCACTCACCTGATCTCGAGCCAGCTCTCCAACGAGGATTGAAAAGCAGCTGTTGGAACCCTCTGCACACTTGTCCACGTTGCATGTGCTGGAGGCATCAAGCGCAAGGTCACAGAAAAGTCCTGGCGTTGCTGTAGCAGCTCTTGTTACAGAATTAGCCCAGGAATTAGATAAAACTGGTCAAAACATAGAGTAACAGCTAGAGGGGAAAGGCTGGTTGCAAATCCTTCCACATCTGTGGATCTGCAGCATGTTTAGGCGAGAATCCAGAACTGCTCAGCATGAATCCACGGAGCTTTTAAATGGTGGAATGCCAACAGAGAGAGAGAGAAAACATTTCTTTTAAAGTGGGATTTTGTGATGCTTCTTGGCGAAAGCTGAATAGGTTGGTTAACAGGAGAGTGAGGAAGAAGCACCAGAGCAGATTTCAGTACGGCATAGTAAAGCAAATTAAGGAACTTTTTGCTACCTGTCTTTTCATAACGAAACTAAAAGTGGGAAAATAGCCACTGATTTTTCAGATCCATTCGCACTGTTGTGTGCCTTACCGAGGGCCAGACAGGGAAGATCTCTGTGATTCTTCAGCTGCCCTGAAAGAAGTGCCCTGTATCAGTTCCTCCCACTAACATCAGTGCTACTGCCTGTCTATAAATAGGAGTTTGACAAACAGCCTTTTTTTTTTTTCCCCCAGGCTCCAGTCACATGCTAGGAAGCACTTTCCTCTAACTCAGGACTGCAGTACAATCCCTGCAGCAGCAGGCTGCAAAGCTGGCTTTGCAGAAGAGCACTTTACATGGACGCAGAGGATGCCGCGGAGGCGGGAGTGAGCTTGCACACACACGGGACTTACCCGCAGGACCCTAGTTCTGTTTTCACTCAAGGTAATCATGAATGTACCCTCTAACAGAGAATGTGCTTGTGACAGGCCCCTTTGGAGGCCACATGCAAAGGCTTTGTGTGTTGGTCACAGGTCCCACGGTTCACGCTGCGGGAACCTTTACTTCCCTGGGAACAGAAAAGGGATTAATTTGAGCTTTTAAGGTAGGCAGCTGAGCTAGAGGAAGTGGATTTTTATGGCTGTTGAAAAGGGAGTAATTTCTCTGACTTGCAGAGAAATAGCTAATATGAATTATTATGGTTGCCTAATGTTTCTTTGCTTGTGTCAGAGCTCGGTTTACCTTCCTCCTGCATGCACCTTTGGAGGGAGCTGCCTCTGGCAGTTACTTTTCTGTAAAAGATAAAATAATCTTGGACAGCCGTCAGTACAACAGCAGGTCCTGAGTTCATTAGCTAAAGTGGTAACTGTTAGCTCTACGTATCACCTGACGTGATTGGTTTTGGTGAGTTTATTAAACTGCAAAGGGCGTGTGCTTTCAATAAATCAGTGGAATCTACAGAAGCTAGGATCAAAAAGAAAGGCTCCCCCTGCACTTCATAACTGTGATTAGATCTCACTGGAGTGGAGAGGTTTCTCAAAAGGTTTACAGCGACTAAGTGGCCTGGCTCTTACAGCCTGGTTCCTTCCATATTCCTGATTTCAGAAAGACTGAATTAAAATGAAACTGCTTGGGGAGCCTGTGCTGTTATGATAAAATAATCCGTTTCTGTCATAGTGAGATATTTATAGCCAATTTCTCTTGCTTGTTTGTTTTCTGCAGATTGAAAGTTGTGAGTAAGAAGTTGCCCTTCTTTCTCCTACTCTAGAAGCCATGATTTCCAGGAAGGTGGTGGGATCTGTTGTCTGTCTCTTTGTTGTTACCGCATTTATCTGGTAAGCATTTGCTGGCAAGCTTGGTCATATATAAAACATCCCGTCTATATCTACACTGTGGTAAAAAGCACATGAGCAGAAAAATATAGGCAGTGCGTTTTATGGAAAGACGCTATTAGAGCTGTAGGGAAAGAACAGTAATTCGTGTAATAAAGTAATGCTAACAGAGGGAGAAGCCTCTGAAGGGAGAGAGAAAAAAAGCCCAGTTGTGTCTGAATTAGGCTGCGAACGTCGTGTCTGACTCACAAACAAATGTTCAAGTACAGAATATTCCAGTTAATTTCAGTTTAGGCCTGGAGAGATGATGATCTGTCTCTTCAAACAGTCCAGACTCACTCCAGTGTAACTAGGGATGGCTGAGGAGCTATGAAACACCCTGGCTTTGAGACATTGAGAGTGACTGTGGGTTTGAGAATACTGAGTATGCCTTACAGATTCTCTCAGGCAAACGCAAACATTGTTTGAAAATCTGAGATCAGGCATTTCTATGAAATGATTATTAAATGTTTAATAACTCTATTTTCGATGTGGCGATTTGCTTCTATTTCATATTGTGAGTAGCTGCATTTCACCCGTAGTTAAGTGATTGCATATAAAAATGTATGTAGATTGTGATCAGAACAAAAAAGGGAGAAAAAAGCCTATGCAGCCTATTTGCTCTGCAAATTAAAGGATGCCCATGTAGCATTTAAAAATCCAGGGAGTGTCAGTATGTCCCATCGGTGCACATGGCATATCCATCCATTCTGGGCACTGCCTTGCATGTCTCCACTGGGGTACGCTTTTCACAAACGTGTAGGCCTACATCTTGCAGACCACTTGATGTAAATAATAATAATAATAATAATAATAATAATAATAATAACAACTACTGATGTTACAGGCTGGATGCTCCTGGACTTGGTTGGTCCTGAGCTTCCCACTGATGCTTTAGCAGCAGTATATCACATTAAAATGTGAATAGACTGGATCCTGCATGAATTAGTAAAGTAGACATGCAGTTAGCTAGAGTTACTTCTCAAAATCTGTGCCAGATTCCCAGATCTTGGAAAATCCTAGGAAGGTATCTTTGAACGTTACCTATCTTAAAAAGTTTCTTTGCTATCACAGGATTACAGCTGGGAGTGGAAAGGTGCACTACCTCCCGTATTACCTTCCTTGCCCCGAAATCTTGTAAGTATCCCATTTTGTATGTAATGAGTAACAGACATCATTGGTACAGGAGCTGTACTTCATTGAGTACAAGTAGTTATCAACAGGTGGTCAGTCACTGGTTCTTTATTTTAAGAACCTATAATTAGTCACTCACCTTTCCCACTGCAGTCTGCTTGCCCTTCAGGTCTGTATTTGTAGAGCATGAGTGGGGCTTTGTTTGTTGTGGGTCACAGAGACCATGACTAGCAGGTTAACACTGGCTTTACCATCGGGGTGTAATCACACACGTGCACACAGGATCTCACCGTGCTTTGAGATGTGGATTAAGTATCCCAGCTTGCTAGATGCAGAATCGTAAGTCAGAGAGGTGCAGTGACTCATATAAGGAGTTCTGGCAGAGTTAGGAATAACCCCCCAGTCCCCTCATCATGTTCATCATCACCACTCTACGATCGGTGCTTTCCACTCACCTTAGGACTGCATTTGTGTTATGGCAATGCTTGAGTCGTGGACCAGAAGCTTGCTCTGAACAAATGAAAGGGTATCTGCTTCTCTAGAACCTTTACAGTTTAAGGAGTCAGCTTCGTTCTGTGATGTAAACTACTGTACAGTTAGCTGGCTCGGTGTGGGTCCCAAAACTGTTTCAAAGCTGCATAAAGGAGAAGTTAGACTGTGGAGGGTACATGGCCTAAGTGATTTCACTGCCATGTTGTGCCATAGCTGTAACGTGACAAGCTACAGCTTTTCCCATCCTTTACTGTGACCTCCTGAGCTTGTAAGAACAAAACAAAACGTGCAAACAGAAAAGGTGATCTCTCATAGAGGCACTTCTGATTATTTCAAGCCACTACAAAACATTGTGTCTAGTAAGATGGTTATTTCTCTGAATGCTGTTTACAGTGTGATATATTTCAGGTAGATCAGCCCTCCACGTGAACAGGAACAGTTACGCAGGGAATGGAGCACATAAATAACCAAAACTGTCAGTCCTCAGTAAGCATGTGCTTCCCTAGATTTTGACCCCAAAACTCTGATTTACCCACAGACGTGGAGAGCTGCCAGCATCCCTCTGTCGCTGTTCTGTTGTGTGCTCTGTTCCAAAGCTGTTACTCCTCTGACAGCCCCTGAGTGGACGTGCAGTTGAGTGTCTAACTCTGTACCAGGCACAGTGTGCGCAGCAGCCGAGGCGAGGACTTGGGCAGCTGTTAGTACAGCAGCAGGTCCTGAAGCTGAACCTGGTTTGTATTTTAGGAAAAGCATTACAATCCTTTTCTTTTCCCACCCCATCCCACAGCTCCATGAAACTCCAATATACAGAAGAGAAGCTAATCCAGTTTTTCCCCCAGTAAGTACTGGCTTCTTATTTCCTGACCTTTAAACTGCTGTTTCACCCAGGAATATTCAATATCATTCAGTGGCTATTTCTTCCTTCTTACAGATTATTTTATCAGCAGCCAAGAGTGCTGGCTCCAAAGTAAGTTGCTTTGTTTGAACTTTGTCGTTTGTTTCTGCTGACTTTGGGTTGGGTGCTCTGTGGCACTCACAGTTTCAACGTCCTGGTACGCGCTGACCAGTGGCACGTTCCCTGAGAAGCCAAACTGTGTGGGAATGTCTCCAGCTGCCTGTGCTGTACGAGGTTGGGTTTATCACTGTGTTCTTGGTAACACACCTACCGCAAAGTCCCGCTTAATACATGAGCACACATGCACAGCGGGCCTACGTGGCTGCTACCACGAGCTCTTTTTGAGATGGGAGATCTACAATAGCTGGAAGACAGAGAGAAATAGCTTCTGGAGCTGTGTTGTAGCTGTAATCAGCTCTGGGAGAGCTCTGAATCCATTTCAGGGCAAAATCAAGCAGGTGCCTTGTATGACCTTCAGCAGTGGTTTCAGCTGACCTGCTGGATCTTATGCTGGAACAAGCTGCAGGCACTCACACAGACGGGTCTCTGTGAGCAGCAGTCAAACCAGGGAGTTTAAACAGGCATGGAAGGTTTCAGGCAGCAGCAGCAGCAAAGTGACTTAGGCAAACACTTCTTGTCAGCTTGTGTTTATTAGCAGCCTCCTTCGGTCCAGCTCCTGTGACCTGACTTTTCCCTAGCAGTTCACCTGCAGCAGCCACCGTTCTTTTGCGTGTTAATAAACACACCCATTGGTACGTATCTGGTTTTCCCCCCCTTGTTGTTTCAACAGGACGTGACAGACCTCCTGAATATTTCTCCCATGTTGGAGTAAATTAATGTGCGACATCAGTTAGTACGGAGTGGACTAAATGAGGAGAGAATTTTGTAGCCTTCAGTGCTCTCTGTCTTCTGAAGGGAGTTCACTACCCGAGAGGATGCATACCATGGAAATGAGTCACTGGGAAAGCCAGTACAGCCCTTTAAAAATGAAATGAAAGAGAGCCCTGCTTAGAGAAGCAAACAAGCAAACTTGCGGATTTCCTCTTCTCTCTCCTGATCCAAAACCCGATAATTAACCCAGAAAGAGAACAGATCAGTTAGTACATTTTCTACAAACCAAATAATTCTTCCAATATAATTTAATCTTTTAAACATACGCATTACTATAGGAGGGAGTGAAATTGCTGTTCTCGGAGTGAAGGTATTAGCTGTGGGTCAAAGGCAGACTGCTGCCTCGCCACCCGACTGCTCCCCACAGGTCTCTTGGTTTGGTTCTTGTGTTGTTATTGCCTTGGGAGCCTGTCGGCTGGGAGACTGCCTCAGCCTCCGAGCCTGGCCGTGTGCTGTGTGTGACCTCATTTAAAAGAGGTTACGGTCTGGGGCAGATGTGAGCAGGACACATCAGGAATGACATCTTGTTTTAAATTCAAGAAGGTAAGAAAGAAACCCTGAAAACAAGAAAGGTGAAATAGCATCACATAGCTGTAACAGGGCATAATCAGACTCTGCTGCATGTATATGCAATATTTCCACTACCCACACAGGAGATTAAGGTTTTTCTATAACTTTGTTAGACATTTGAATGCTGGCTCACATACAGAATTTTAAATCATATCTGAATGTGTTAAAGCTATTTATAAATACTGGAAAAATAAACTGTCGTGCCGCAAGCTGTGCTTTAATAACTCAGAAATGGGGTATATTTTCATAGTAATTTTCATATTATTACGTGTGTTTTAATCTGTATGTAGCAATCTGCATCAGACTGATAGCAAATATGCACAGCTTCTCGTTCTGGGAGTTCAGTGGCTGTTAAACTCTCCTCAGCAGAGAAGTCCTGTGAGCTTAAATGAGATTTTAGTAGATCCTTGGGTTTTTGCCAATTCGTTAAACAATGCTTAATTTCATCCCAGGAACTGAAATGTCCATGCTCAATAGCCTCAAACAAGCGGGCAAGGAAAAAAAAAATCTGAACATAATACCATCCCTAATGAGTTAATGCTGGTACACACATTCTTCCTCTAGCTGCTGTTTTTCGTGTTTCTTTCCCATTTACTGGCCTTGAAACCAAAAGAAACAGTTACAATTCATTAACATCCCTTTTCTTTTCCTTCAGGCGTCAGGACGTGCTGACGGTCACGCCATGGCTGGCCCCCATCATCTGGGAAGGAACCTTCAGTGCTGAGGTCCTAGACAGTGCCTACAGGCCACTGAACCTCACCGTAGGGGTGACGGCCTTTGCCATCGGGAAGTGAGTGAACCACTGGGCCAGCACGGTTCTTGGGTTGATGTACTGTGTAATTCCTCGGTGGAGAGATCACTTTGGCTTTCCTTGTCCTCAGCAGAGCTGAGATCTGTCCCAATCTGTAGTAATTTTTTATGCCCATGTGTTGTGCCTGTAATCATACAAGCCTACAAGAGAACAGGCTCGGCACCTGAAGTGTGGTCAGTGCTTTGGAAGAACCAGCATGCGCCTTGGGAATTAGAGCTGTAGATAGGTGGTTGGTTGGTCAAAGCAGGGAGAATCCACTTCCTTGTCCTGCCCTCTACTTTGCCTGTTGCATGTGTAGTATGGATCCTTGCAGCTTTAGCCAGTCAGCGCTCTCCACCCCTCGTCTTCTTCCATTCGTTAAAGTACCCGTGAGAACCCACCACGCATCCCCTTGTCTCACAGGTACACAAGGTTTGTGGGACGCTTCTTGGAGTCCGCAGAGAAGCATTTCATGAAGGGCTATCGGGTGAACTATTACATCTTCACTGACAACCCCGAGACAATTCCCACTGTCCAGCTGCAACCTGGACGAAGGCTTGTCATTGTCCCCATCAAGAAATACCCCAGCTGGCAAGAGATCTCCATGCGCAGGATGGAGGCCATAAACAAGCACATAGCAGAGACGAGCCATGGGGAGGTGGATTACCTCTTCTGCCTGGACATTGACATGGTGTTCTACAACGCCTGGGGGCCTGAGACCCTGGGGGACATAGTAGCAGCCCTACACCCCGGCTACTTCAACGTTCCTCGAAGCCAGTTCCCTTATGAGAGGAGGAGCTCTTCAGCAGCCCACATCCCTGATGGAGAAGGGGACTTCTACTATGGAGGAGCTGTGTTTGGAGGGCTGGTCAAGAAAGTCTACGAGTTCACCAAGACTTGCCACATGACCATCCTGACGGACAAAGCCAATGGGATCATGGCAGCCTGGCAGGAAGAAAGTCATCTCAACAGGCACTTCCTCTCCCACAAACCTTCCAAGGTGCTTTCTCCAGAGTATTTATGGGATGACAGGAAGCCAAAGCCTCCTGAAATTCACCTCATACGTTTTTCCACGGTGGATAAGGACTACAAAGAGATACGGGATTGACCATCTGATCCCTGCAGAGCTGTCCTCCACACAACCAAACCCACTGAATGTTATCTCCCACAGGATGTACCCCACCACGAATTTTTGTTCCCAGTGTGAACAAAGTGAGAAAGGAACCCATGGATAGTTTCTCCAGAGAACAGGAGTCTTAATGCATTACAAAAGCAGCAGCCAAAGTGGAGGTGAGAATGAAAAGGTTTCTAGGTTCCTAATCTTTGTAAATACAAGCATCCTGCTTGAGGCACAAAAAGGCATCCAGAAGGGCAGTTATCAAATGCAAGGCTGCAGATGTCTTTGCCTGAGTCTTTTCTTGAGGCCTAGCAGAAAACTAGCAAGATCAGAATGGTATTTGACATTCTTGTGGAGGAAGAGAAGACCTAGAGTTTTAGTAAAGACCTTTTCACTTAAAAAAACAAAACAAAACAAAAACAACTTTGCAGGGCAATGCATTTTTGTGAAATGTAATTTAAACTCACACCCTTTGTCAGGATCAGGAGGAAACTTGAGCTTGGAGCAAGTTATCCCCGATCAGTGTGCAGCAGGGTTTCTTGGACCTTCTCAGCAGAGAGCTGGTGCCAGCCATTGCCGGTAAGAACCCTGGTCTGACAGGACAAATAGTGTGAATTCATGTAGCATTATCTTCCAAATCCCAATCTGTGTTTTGGAGACCCGAGTTTAGACAGAACTGGCACACCTCAGACACAGACTGAACTTCTTTGGGTTTATTTCAATCACAGATGTGCTCTGAACCTTTTCCCTGGTTCACATGTCTCTGTAGATCATGTAATCTTTTCCAACACAGAAAATCTGGTATGGAGAGGTTCATGTTCCTATCCATTGCTTCAGTCCTTTCCAACTTTTCTAAGCTCTGGGAAATAAATTGGCTAGAAGCTGCTGGAACTGACAGTAAGAGCTGATGCATTTCCAGCAAACAGGGTGATTTCATTTTATGAAATGCTCTAGTGAAACTGGGAGTTCAGTCTGGAGCTGGAAGTAGGCTGGGGTTAACATTTTCCTTGCGAGAATGTGAGGAGAAGCTGAACCAGGCAGGCGTTCTGAAGCCTCTAAAGCCTGACAGCTCCCTCGGGTGAGCAGATGGGGGGAACCCAATGACAGGGGCACAGCCACGGCTCGTTAGTGACAACAGTATAATTGTCAACTGAGGTCACAGCGTGGGGGTTCACGTGCCACCTCCCTTGCTGCAGCATGTCTGCCATAAGCATCTCCATCCCTCCCGCAGCACGCTACCAGAGGGCTCTGCAAGCCTGGGCCGTGCTCGTTTAATGTGAGCGGGGAGGGAGACCACGGGGAGCAGCAGAGAATGGCACTGTACAGCATGGGGAGGAGAAGCAGGGGTGAAAGGGCTGCGCTGATTGTTTCTAAGGGAACAGGTTTAAAAAAAAAAAAAAAAAAGAGAATAAAAGCTCATTTGGCAGAAAGAGGGAAGAGGTGCCTGACTGTTCTTGCTTCTCTTCACATGAGAAAATTGCTGTATGACAGCGTATCGAGTATTCCAGGCTTTAGGGCCCCACCACTGATTGCAGATGGCTTAATGAGCCATTTCAATCCTGTGTGAGCAGGCTGAAAATGGCACTTGCCAGTGTCATTGCAGCCATTTCATCTTCCAGAAGACTAATTACGAAAGCTTTCACTGCACCCATAACACAGATAAGGTACACAAAATACCTCCAGCCCAAAACATGCAGTGGCAGCTGGGTCTGTTGATTCAGGCTTTATCCAGCAAAAGGTCTATACTATTGTATTTTCTCCAGACTCTTCTTAGTGCTGTGGTGCTGGAGGAAGACACCCTGCTACGCAACTAAACCAGAGCTGAATCTCCTGTGAAGATGTCTGTGTTTGGTAACCAGGCACATCATCTAAGCCAAAAGGATGAAGAAAGATCCTTATCCAAATATTTCCAAGAAAAAAAGGTATATTCCCACCAACCCAGGGTTAATACTGTATATTTCTTACTTATAAAATAGTTGTGTCGAAGGCCGTGACTGAAACTGGGGTCTCATTATGCCAGTTCCTATATATACATGCATATGGATTCTTTTACAAGCCAGAAGGAACTGTCTAGTCTGATCTGCACAGGACAAGCCAGATAATTTTATCTCCCGATGTCAGTATCAAAGCTCATAAGACGTATCTGGGCTGTGCTAGATCTCTTAGAAAAGCATTCAGATCCAATAAAAACATGAGGTGATGTAGCAGCCACAAAGCCAATGGCTAATTCCCCTTACGTCTTAATTCTGCTCTAAATTCAGCTCTAAACTGCTCTGTGTTTGCAGCCATGAGGCTTCGTTCTGCCATACTACTTGAATTCCTGTGCAGAATTCATAGCCTGTACTAAATCCCCCATGAAAGGAAGTTCTCCAGCACAAATGATGTGTGATAGAGGGTTGCCTGTGTTTCTGGGGTACCTTTTCTGAAAAACTTGTGAGAGGTTTGGTCCTGGGCTCTGTTTCCTGTCACTGACGTGGCAACGGCCTGATTTGTGCAGCGCCAAACACGTTTATCTTCTTGGCAGGCCCACAGCTGCTCCCCGGGGGGAGGTCTTGTGTCACATCTTATGTGACACAGTTCTGCACGGCAGGGCTGGGATTTGAAACAGCACCTAGAAACTCCCTGTCTCCAGGGAGCGGAAGAGTGGGACTGCAGAAACACACTCCCCAGCGCAGTGTGGGAGAGGCTCCCTGAGTCAGCTTGTGCCCTCCTCTAATTAATGAAAGTTTGGACTTCTGCTGTCAGCTCCTGCTGATTAATCCCCTTCCCTCAACACCATCAGCGAGCTCTCCTTCTCATTTAGACTGTGCACCCTGAGGCTTGTGGCAGCGTGGGAGCTTCACAAGGACCTACTTCCTGACCTGAATTTCCCCCCAGGATCCATTGTTCAGTGGGGAAACTGAGGCACGTGGGAGCAAGGCAGCAGCCACGCGCTCCTGCATGGGAAGTTTTCCTCCAGTCGCCACAGAGGATGATGCTGTCTCGAGTGTTCTTGTGCCAAGGGAATTTGGACGTGGAAACACGCACCCAGTACTTCACGTTTAATGAATTCACCCCCTGTAAGTAAATCTTCAGCCGATTTACAGTGCCTGAGGATCTGATCATTCTTTCGAGGTGTTTCCGACTCAAGCCCTGTTTGTCCTTAACCAAGCCTCAGATCAGCAGCCTGTTGCCTTCCCAAGGGCCCCTTGTTCCCTCCGTCCCTTTCTGCTCGGCTGGAACAGACTCATCATTCATTGTCCATCTAATTTAAGAACCCATCTGACCAGCTTTTTCTTTCCTCGTCTCGGCTGGTGACTTGCATGGTGCATTCATCCCCAAAGGGAAAACTTTTCTGGGCAGCAAGAAACAGAAACTGCCAGCATGGAATACGATCCTGGGGGGGCCCAGACCAGGACCCTCTTGTTCTCCTCACGGAGAGGACAGGAATCATTTCCACTAAACCAGACTAGCACCCTTTTTTACTCCTATTCAGATTTCCCTTAACCCTCGCACAGGTGGTGTCGCCTGACATCATTGACCAGAAATGCCATTTTGAACCACTTGGATACGCTGCAATAGTTAACAAAAAGACTGGCCTAGCCAAACCTTCTCTGTGTGAGATCTGTGGCTGGGGGGCACGGCAGCGAGATGGTCTTTGAGCAGCCGTGGATGAGGAAAGGATGAGAACATCAGTTATATATTCCCTGCACAAAACCAGCTTGGGGAATAGCCACGTGCATCTGGCTGGCTTAACGCAGCTAAAGCGGGAGGGTGGTGGAAAGGAGCTGGAAGGCTGGGAGCTCCCTGCCAGAATGGCTGGTTTTACTCTCCCACCCTTTGTCCCACCTGTTTAGCCCGTGGATTTCAAGGAAGGGCCTGTCTCTGCTCTGTGCCTGCCCAGGGACCAGTCTTAGTCACTCACGCGTGAAGGTAAGATACGCAGAGTGAGTTTCTCAGTGAGGATTTGCTTCAGTCACCAGGGTTACTATTTTCTCACTTGAATCCCCCCGGCTCTGCTTCACCTCAGTGCCTCAGCAAGTCCCCCGTGGGATCCCCAGGAGTGAAAGCCGCTGCTTTCTGGGTGGAGCGAGGGTGACAGCGACGGGCGCTTCCAGGAACCGGAGAAGGGAGTTGACAGGAGTGGGTCGCACTTTACTCATGCTACATCCCCAACCCTGCAGTTCTGCTCCATGCAGCCAAATAACTTCGGCAAGCACTGCTAGCAAAACACGTTGATAAAGTGACTTTTTAAATGTCTGCCTACCCACCCGACTCTCTCCTTTATCTGAGTGTAACGCTGTACTGACTTGACTTTTCTTGGGCTATATTTAGATTAAACAGAGATCCATCAAATGTCGCTGTTTCATGTAAAACTAGTATAAAGCCATACGAATAGAGAGGCAGTTTTAACCCGAAATCTCTGCTGCTTGTACGCCCATCTCATCCCCCCTGCCCTCTTCCCTCACCGCTGAATCTTCAGCTAATTTAAAGCGTGTCGGATGAGTACAAATTACTTTAAAAAAAACTGCTTCATTCTGGTTTGGGGTTTTTTTTGTAGTGAGTTTTTCCAGCAGCAAATTACACTGTTCTAGACTTTTTGAAGTATGTATTTTTCGCACTGTTCAGCACTGACACCGTTGCTATAATTAGAATGATGTTGTTCTGGAGCAGCATCTAGTGCCAGAGCGAGCGGCCTGGCAGCACCTTTTCCTTTCCTGGCGATGCTCCCCCCTCCCAGGCTGCTGCTTCTGCTGGCCTGGAGCCACCGAGGCGCAGGACGGCCAGATGTGCTGGGCCGTGCCTGGTCCCCGATTCCCACCGTGACCCTGGAAAAGTTGGGGTTTCCTCCTGGGGGGCTGCTGGTCGCGGTGGCCGTCGAGTGGGGACCGGGTGTGTGTCCTGGGGTCCCCGGGAGGGTGGTGGCCAGCTCTGCACCCCCACCCCAGGAGCATCGCTCGGCCGTGGAGAGTGACGCAGGCTTCTGCCAGCTCCTGCTCGCCTGACATCACTCCGCGATGGCGCGCGTCATCCGCCTCATAAATATCAATGACGGGGACTGGAGCCGTTCACATGCAGCCTCTCCGTTTCCAGGGCAACTCCGCCCGCTCAGCCCCCGCGGTCTCTCCAGCTCACGCTCCAACACACCGGTTGAACACCCAAAGCTCCGGCAGGTTTTTCCCTCCGTGGCCCCGCTGGGCTGCGCAGAGATGGGGCGGCCGGGGCTGGATGTGGGGGCGCTGGCGGCGCGGTCCCGCAGCGGCGGGGGGCCGGGCTCCCCCC